TAACATAGCTTATCTCATTATGGATTATAGCTGTTTGAATCAATTGAATTCATTTGCCAACTAATGATAAAATAATTTTCGGAGACTGTTGAAAATGCCTTTCTCTTACTATAAACAAATGGTTTATATCTCATGAAAACTTAGTTAAATTGCGTTTTTGAAACTTAATCACACAAAGTTTTATATGAGTTTATCATCTTTTTGCTTTTGAAAGATCAGACTGTTCGATCATAAACTGACAGACATATCCCTAGGTTTTGGGGACAAACGTCTTTCTTGAAGAATAAAATCCAGAGTTATTTGCAACTTTTGTTCCCTAATATCTTTTAGATGTAGTTATACACATTCCGCTGACTAGTTCCGTGGGCCACTTAGCCTAGTGGAACATTCAATGAGGTTTTTCGTGTAGTTCATACTTACAATCCTTATGATTGGAACCATACCTAATTAAAAGAAAGTGTTTTTGGTTTGCCGACATAAAACGGAGGACATCTTGCACCCCGTTTAAGCTACACGGAATCCAAACGACAACAGTCTGTACCGTACGCTGAGTTCCTACCTGGAGTTATCTATCTGTTGAGAGGGCTGTAACTATCATGTGGTTCTCAGCCGCCCATGTCTTTCCTCACAACCAATGGTATCAGTTAGGTTCATCAGCAGTTGAATCGGTGAGTAATATGTGATTACAGCATTGCGTCAAGTCGGCCTTAGTTATTTTCAGTGTTATCAAGGTCAATACCTTGTTTCATTGATGAGGGATAAAGCGTTTGCAAAATCTCAGCAAATAAATTTGAAGCAAATTCGACATTTCTCTTGGCAATCGGGTCAAAGCTTTTTCAAGAAAATATAATCAAGCACCGAATTGTTGAATATAGACAGGTACATGATTTTTCAATTAACTATATACTAAATGAAACATTTAATCAAATTAACAACGTTTATGGTAGGTATTTGATTTAGTGTGTATGAAACATGTGGTTTGAAACGAAAAGTGTGTTAAAACAACAAATTGTGTGTATTCACATGTATATTTGAGATAAGAGAAGAGATGTCACTCGCAATTAGTCTCCTCTGATCAATGCAATTTAAGGAAAATATACGATTTTTGTATGTGATATGAATCAAATATGTCACAGCATGCATAAAATGGCAATAAACGAACCAAATAAAAGTGGAAGAATGAATGCTTACGTTACTTTTATTGTTCCCGCTTATTTCCATCATAGGTAAGATGAAGAATATTTTTGAGGGAACAATCGTTCTCAATAACTTCTTCGTCAGGCTCTACAGTTATAATTATTGCGATATTTCACAAAGGTCAAAATGAGGCATGTATCAATAAATTTGACAATGTTATGTGTTAAAAATAGTCAATAGTAGCATCCGTTACGATATATATACTTCAAAATTGTGTTATCTGTATATTTGATTAGTCATTTAATCAAGGTCAGAATGATTTAAAGTGTCAAGTCACATTCAATATAATAGTATTATGGCAAAATCGAAAATGGGAAAGAGTCACGTGAATAAAATGCATGGTAGGAGAGTTTCATCTTCTTAATTAAGGCAATAAAGATAATGACAATCGTAATAATAATAATGTCGTTGTGTGAATAAAATATGTAATATGAAGGGTGTTATCAAGGTAACTACATTAAAGTGATTGTGTGAATTGGGAGAGATGGGTGTGAAGATTAAGATAGGCTTGATCACTGGGTACTCAAACTGAATATTACGAACCTACTATCCCCTTCTCATTTTTTTGGTTACATCAGTGCTTGATAACTGGACTATGTGAAATAGCTTTCTACGAACTAACCCCCAATTTTATCGAAATTAGAGAATGAGGGGATAGAACGGTCAACGTGCATGAGTGTTTCCAATTAAGGCGGATTAACTGTCGTGCTAAATACGCAAAATGGTGTATCCAGATGTGTTATGGTGAGGATTCTTGACCGAGTGGCTTCAACCAGAGTGTGTTCAGTAAAATTAATTAATTCAGAATTAGTGTCGATGACTTACGAAGCCATATATTTTGGGGTTCTGTTTGCCGTCATGTATACCTTGATAAATTTTCTGTCCAAGTACAGCCTCGTTTCGGTGAGTGATGCTGATCCGCACATTTGCATTCACTTTAAAGTTCGTCCCTAACTTTCTGACCTTGATATCACGTGAGAAAGTCACAAACTGAGGATTAACTATTTATCTTTCATATCCACTGGTGACGGTCCAATCAGTAATACGGATAATTTGACCTGGTCGATTGGGTACCGAACTTCCAAAGGCATTGAAAAACTGTTTGAGAATGACTAAAAGAACGTTCTCCGGATCATTAGTGTTATGGACAATTCTTTGATTTTCTTTTATGCATCTGTATTTGGTTATCAGTCTTAACGAGACTTTTGACTTTTGCAGTAAGTTCCCGTATAATTGGGTCACTCGACGACTCTACACTTTATTTGAGAAAGATAATAAACGATCCCGTACAGAGGATCTTTTATCATGATTGCCTTGAGTGTGTCTGATGTGAACCGTGAAACAAGGAGCCTTAACAAATTACGGAAGCGACTTTTGGGGACGTTAATTCATTTAATTCAAAGCTTGTAAAACTGTAACATTTAATTTTGCCCCTAGTCTATTCTACAGATCATGAGCTTTCGTTTGATGTATAATTCACTGTCATAGCATTTTCTGTTCTAAAGATATTGTAATTTAGACGTAACCTTTTATACTCTATTTTTTACTACAATCCCCCAGTTTTGGACATAATTGTATTTTCCTAATTATTGTACGTTGTGGTCAGGTTGTTCATCTATTTACTCATGTAACTTTTCACCCTAATCTGAATTGGGAATTTGAGTGCTGGATCGGGGTTGGAATAAATTGGTTAGTGTTCCAGCTGTCTTTGTCTTCTCTCTCTCGCGCGCGCGTGCTTGCCAGCCAATCAGGGATAGAATAGTTTTCGTCTCTCTACCCCCACTTCGAACTCATGCATACTAGCCTCAAGGTTAAGCCAGTCAGCCTACTGGGTCAAGGTCTTAATCTACATTAGATAAGTCATACTCGGCACTAAAGTGGGTAGACAGATTCAAGGACGTAACAGTGTCTCAACTAAAGTATTAAAGTACCTGGATCTTGAGAGTTCAAATAACGCCAGACGTAACACGATACGCCGCTATTAATCGTTTTAATCTACAATGAAGCCAAATAAATCTATGAAAATGCCTGGTTCAGCAAATCTGATGTTAAGACAACATTATCCAATGACCCTCTAATCTGTAATAAACAGAATCTGATGGCCAGAGTATACTTGTTTATTAACATAACTCGAAGAGCTAGCAGTCTTATGATGCAAGGACGAATATCCCAAACACACCGCGGTATACCTGACGCATTTAACTCGTTTTCTTAAAATACTTTCAATTTATCGTTTCATTCAGGTGTGTGTCACGTTAACACCCCAACCTGTTTTACGTTCTGTACAAATGTGACTGAAAACGATGTCATCCACCAGAAAATTCTACTTACATTATTCTACCCATACATTCATTTGGACCACCATTTTGCCTGACAACCATGACTAGAGTTCACATGTATGTTTACCATACGCATTGTATGCATTCGTCGATATCAAGAAAAACTATGTAAATAAGAGAACTAGCCCAGTCATTTCGTTCCTGTTATGAGAATTTTAGCGTAGTATGCGCTCAGGTTGACTTGGAAGCTGTTAATCAAATTCATCAAAATCCTGAAAGCACTGTCCTTTAATTAGTAATCATGTTCATCTTATAACGGACGTTTTAACCCACATCAAGCCTATTACAACTTCATAAGATCATAAGATGACCAATCTTTCTGAAAATGTGTGGGACTATCCATAAGTTGGTTCATTCTTTTAAGACAAGATATTTATCGTCCATATTGCCAAGGAATAATCTCAGAACCCTTTCTGGTTAAAACCTGTTGGATTTAGTATTAGTCGGTACTAGTGAGTTTATCTAATGATATTAGACTAATGGGCCTAGTATATTATAGTCGACCCTCAATAATGTGACGGCCTAATATATGAACTTACTTCAAAATCACACCATCACCTGTTTATTCGCTTTATCGTTGCACTTATGAGCATTGTTTACCGAAAACCTTTCTGAAACAAACTGAAGCTTACCGATAGAATATTATAGTGAATATGAAGACGAGAGAATTTCAGAGTGGATAAACTAGCATAGCCGAGTCAATCAGTCCTGATAGTGTTCTTGAGTCAAACTTTACTGACCTCCATCGTCGCACATCAGATATTCAAGGTAGTAAGAATCTCCTGAAGCAGTGTACATCCAGCTTCAAAGATTGCTTCGTTAGAAGCAAGTATTATTTAGGTGTCACAAAAGACCCAATACATAATCAGTTTGTCGAGTCAGGTGGACTATGATAGTACTCGAAACATGTTCACAAGAGTTCAGGAGGTCGGATATTGATTGGACTTTACTAGAAATGTACGTTTGTAAAACCTGTGGACTTAATAAGCGAATCCTTGTTTCATGTAGGAGGCGGATATTCTAGAACGAGTTAGACAACGAATGACTAAAATTGTGAACGGTTTCTATGGATTATCTAATGGAGACAGACTGGGATACCTTAATCTATTTCCGTTATCTTACAGCAGATTACGGGGTGATGTAATGCTGACTTACCGTATACTGAACACAAATTTTGGTGTTATTCCGCCTTATCTTTTTCTTCCATCTGGGACTGATCATCTGAAAGGACATTTTGAGAAATTTCAAAAACCGAGATCAAATCGCTTACACCTGGAGTTCAGTTTCTGTCACCAAGTAGTGAATTACTGGAATTCTCTAGAGGAACACATAATATCAACACATTCTGTTGATACATTCAGAGCGGAACTAGTCCTTCATAGCAATACGAATTGCAAAAAATATTATAGGTCGATTGACTTATCGTTACTACAGTAGGCAGAACAGTATCGTTCATCTATAGGGTATTGAAACACTTGGGCGGGACTTGTTTTAGTGTTCATGAATTAGCTCGCTGATTCTTCTTGTTATCGCGTGTGCACTTTTATCGTACTATGTCTTACGACTATAATGAGAATAATCTTGTAGATGAGGTAAGTAAACATTCTCAACTAAGATATTGTTTGGAGTTGACTATATAGAACATGCAGTAGGGCAGTCTAAACGTTTTTTTAAACTTTTACAATCAACTAGTAATACTTTAGGAGTACGATAGTTTTCCTGACAAACATTACAAGCTAGTGTGTGCACATATTAGAGTTATCTGGATTTTCTTGCTCTGCACCTGTAGCCAGGTCAATTAACGTGTCTTGTTTTTCCAAGATGAATGCTTTTGATTCTCGATCGTAAGCACTAGTTACAATTCTTCCGATAATTGAGAAAAATCCGTTAATGACCCTTTTGCATATATACTTATTCTGGCATCAATATGTACGTTAACCTTATCTAACTCATCCTTCCGTCACTATCTGGGGTTGCGTCATCCCCTTGCGAATTTCTGCGCTGCAGAGGTGTCTTTAATTTCACCACTACTTGTTTACTGTGGTAGTTCAGGCGACTGCCATACCTGGTTAGAGTCTTGGCCACCTTGTGATAAGCTTATGGGTTAATACGAACACAATCGTCAATCAAGTGTTAAATGTGTGAATGGATGTTCTAATCATGCCCAAGAGAAACTTACCGAGTAGTGCCATTATGGATACTTGTCCTTGTAGTCTCTACTCCTTACTTTGCAAATATTGTGTCTTTAAGACCACACCACTTCGATACAATACTGGTTTTGAACTTGAATTAGTTTCATGTGTGTAATTTCTAATCAACAGTACATTGACCGTATACACTCACCTAAATATATTCAAACTTGGTTGAAGTAGAAATAAAAATAACATGGTTGCCATGTTCTCTAAACTAAGGGTTCCAATAGCTCATGAATACTGTGACGTGCGAAGGTTAGTCCTGATTGTTCTGAGTATAATTGAAGGTAATATCTGTAAACGAAGTAACACTTCCTAATTTGATCTGTATCCTAAGTGCATTCATCCTATACAATCTCAAACACCGCACCCAAAACCCGAAATTCTGTCTGTTCAAGATCTTGTGTTTAATTATTTATTACTATTCGTGTTCACAGTTTCTAGTCACTTTCTCGTCAAAATACTACTCATTCTAAACCAGAACATCTTCCAAGTTCATACTTTGCTTGTCTTTTCTAATAAACGTTTGATCTGGATTCATTGCTTATATCAACTTAGTGCTATCGGTTAACAGCACATCAGTCTCAGGGTAAAGCTTTACTAATCCTAATTATAATGGATTTAAAGTCCTACCAGATGCTTCCTTTTTTACGCTATGTTTGTGTTTTTGGTAATTTAAATTAACTTGAGCTAACTCGGAACACAAGTGCACATTTGTTATTCCTATTTTGCAACTACGGTATATAATAAAGCAGATATTATTTACACTAAAGACTATTATAGGTAAATACGCAGTATGATCTTGTTATGTGCTTGACTGAATTTTCGTTTATAGATTATTGCATTTACCACGACAGTTGACCCATGTTTTTATTGATAACGGTGTCCCGATCGTTGCTGCTACCTTGACGTGGTGGTCGGGCTTGCCTATCGTGATGAAGCAATCGAGCTATGCTGGCTGGAACAGTCGTTCCTCGAGGTCCTACCATGCCAGACAGGTCGGTTGAAGAGCGGTGAGACTAAAAGCAGCAAACCCAAGGTCCGAAGGCGAAGTCGTACTGCTGACTGTACAGAGGTGTGACGGCAGTAAGGTGTTTCCTTCAGAAAACCAGCATGACAGCGATGCTGCCTTCCCACAAGGAGGGGTGGGGTTAGAAAAGGTCGACCCTAAAAATGCACATTTCGCCTTATCCCACGGATTTCCGTCTCCGGCGGTAAGGTTTTTTTTTGAAGAACGGAGCTAACACAAAAACTACCCACAAAAAGGTCGTGTGTGACCGACCTCAAGCAGTTGTCCCTTGGGCACTGCGGTCACGCTCTCAGGTCATTAAGACCACTCCTAACCCAATTTCCTTTTCAGGTACCTCTAGAAGAATCCTTCCACGGTGTGGGCAACCGGGAAGTGATAACTGCCCTCATACCTCTAACAGCACTCAAGACCACTGTATTCATAATCAATCTTCTTCTTCAATTCCTACTATTCCCTCTACCTTGACTTTCAACACTAAACTTCCTCTCTCGGTTTCCTCCTCAAGTGTCACCATGGCCAACGATTCTAGTGCGCGAAACGCTGTCCCAGGTCTACTTAAACCTCGCTCCAAACTACACATTGGAGCCTTCAACGTACGTACCCTATGCCAAATCGGTCAACAGGCCTCCTTAGCTAAAACCCTAGAATCTCGTACCATTGATGTATGCTGTGTCTCCGAAACACGCATACAGGATCCCAGTGTGGTCATTCACTTGACCTCACCTCGCCAAAATGGACAGCCGACGAAATACACCCTCCGTGTATCTGGCGACCCGTTGGCTAGTTCTCGCGGACTTGCAGGTGTAGGCATAGCACTAAGTACAAGGGCAGAACAGGCACTACTAGAATGGATCCCCGTTAACAGTCGCCTGTGTGCTGTCCGGCTAAATGGCTCCATAAGAACTCGGAAGGATAGGGACACACGTCGTTGCCTTTTCGTCGTTTTTGCCTACGCTCCCACTGACTGCAGCCATGATGAAGTAAAAGATGACTTTTACAGAAAACTCTCTGAGCTTCTTCAGAAAGCTAAGCGCTCAGACATAGTACTCATAGCGGGTGACTTTATTGCCCAGGTAGGTAGCTTGAATCAAACAGAAAGACATTTAGGTGGGTGTTTTAGTATTCCGGCTCAACGAACCGATAATGGTGATCGTCTGTTGCAACTATGCTCAGACAATCGTTTATTTTTAGCAAGCACTAATTTTAAACATAAGGAGAGACATCGTCTAACATGGCGACCACCTGCACCAAACCAACGATGGACTCAAATAGACCATATTGTCATCAGTCATCGTTGGAGAGGCTCAATAGAAGATTGTCGCTCGTATTGGAATACTTGTTTAGACTCTGATCACGCTTTAATACGAGCACGCATTTGTCTGCGCCTCAATGGACGCAGGAAAAGTACACTAAGAAGACCCATTAGGATTGAACTGGAGGACGAGAAAGCCAAATGCGAATTCCAGAAACAACTAAGTTCACATCTAGGCAGTTCTGTAAACGAGACTGACCCAGATGCTGCTTGGAAAGACACACGAACAGCTGTGGAAACGGCAGTAACATCTATTAGTCATTTAAACCATAGGGCTCCAAAAAACCAGTGGATTTCCTCTAAGTCTATTTCACTGATGGATTCGCGTAAATTCATCCCATCAGGCTCTGAACATGACGAAGAGCGTAAACAAATTAGATCTAGGTTAACTAAAAGCCTAAGGAACGATCGTGAGCAGTGGTGGGCAACGAAAGCAAAAGAGATGGAAAAGGCAGCGGCTGTAGGCAACACCAGGCAACTATTCAGACTAATAAAAGAAACCGGAATTAAGAAGTCAAGTGTAAGTGAGACAATCTCGGAAAAAGACGGAACCCTTATCTGCTCTCAACCTAAACGTTTAGAACGATGGGCGGAACACTTTAAGGAGCAGTTTAACTGGCCTTCAGCTACTGCACAACTACCCACTATTCCCAGAAAACCTGAATGGAACATTGAAGTAGGCCCCCCGACCCTACTTGAAGTTCAAAAGGCTATAGGTAATCTGAAACGGGGAAGAGCAGCTGGTCCTGATGGATTGGTTCCAGAGGTTTTTAAATACGGTGGTCCAATTTTAGCGATTAGGTTGACTAATATTCTGGCTAAAATCTGGGAGACGGATGTAATCCCATCCGACTGGTCACAATCACTGATTGTCCCAATATATAAAAAGGGGTCAAAATCATCCTGCGATAACCATAGAGGGATTAGTCTGACTAACATAGCATCTAAAATACTAGCCTCAATAATTATCGGGCGCCTAACTAAGACTCGTGAACTGCAAACACGAGAAAATCAGGCTGGCTTCAGACCTGGTCGTGGCTGTATCGACCACATATTCACCATTCGTCAAGTTTTAGAGCACAGACACGCTTATCGGCGTCCGACAATGATAGTTTTTCTTGACTTGAAAGCAGCATTTGACTCTGTAGACCGAGAGGTTCTGTGGCAGTGTCTGTCATTGAAAGGTGTACCTGAGAAGTACATAAACCTTTTGAAGGCTCTTTACTCGAACACTATTAGTCGAGTGAGAGCTTATGGCGAACTGTCATATGATTTTACAACCTCAAGTGGTGTCCGTCAAGGCTGTCCACTATCCCCATTTTTGTTTAACTTCGTTATAGACCTGTTTCTGGAAATAACACTCTCATCGACTGAATTTTCAGGAATTGATCTCCTACCAGGGGGACCACTAAGCGACTTAGAATACGCAGATGACATAGTCCTGTTTGGTGAAGACGCTGGCAAAATGCAGAGTCTTCTGTTGGAACTCAGTAGTAATGCCAGGATGTTTGGGATGCGTTTCTCCCCATCCAAATGTAAATTGTTACTCCAGGACTGGCCTGCGTCAACACTCGAACTAAGGATAGGAAGTGAAGTAGTCGAACGCGTCGACAACTTCGTTTATCTTGGAAGTATGATCAGCCCTAATGGGTTGGTGTCTGACGAAATCTCAGCACGGATTCAAAAAGCTCGTTTGGCTTTTGCCAACTTACGTCACCTATGGCGTAGACGAGATATCCGTCTATCAATTAAGGGACGAGTATACTGCGCAGCAGTTCGCTCTGTCCTACTTTACGGCTGTGAAACATGGCCATTAAGAGTAGAAGATACTCTTAGGTTACTAGTATTTGACCACAGATGCCTTAGAAATATTGCTCGCATCTGCTGGGATAACCGGGTAAGTAATAGTGAGGTTAGACGCAGGGTATTAGGGAACGATGGTAAACCAGTTGATGAGGTGATGAATCTTCATCGACTGAGATGGTTGGGCCATGTGTTACGTATGCCTGAACACCGATTACCACGACGCGCTATGATGACTAGTGTTGGGGACGGTTGGAAGAGAGTTAGGGGCGACCAAACCAAAACATGGCATCAGTGTTTGAAGTCACTAACTTCTAGCCTGAGCCATGTTGGCAGATGCAGACTACCTGGTTGGGGTCCGCGTGACTATCGTAACCAATGGTTGGAGACTCTAGGTGACATGGCTCAGAATCGGTCACAATGGCGTAGGTGTATACACTCTTTATCTTCCCTTAAACCTTGAGACTAAAATTGCTTCATATCTCTCTTCCTTCCTGTACTATATCCTTATATACAACCTATAATTTATATACTACTACCAACACTAGATTAACTACTATAAATCCGGTGTTCCTCTTGTTGTGCTAACGAGGTATGGCAACTTGGACCGATGCATATATGTGCCTGGTCCTACGTTGTAGCTGACCTGACTGACCTGATAACGGTAAACAATCAATAGTATATGCTTCAGATAATTTATGCCAGTTGGTTAAGACAATGTTGGAAATTCTGGTTACTCCGTACTTTCCTAACCCTCTGGTGCGCTTAGAAGTACGATTTTAATATCATACTACGAATAATACATCTGGTTTTTCTGTCAATTAACAGGTGTTTTATCCAGTATAACTCGGTTAAGTTGCCACAATTGGGGGACTTGATTGACTCTTCAAAATGGTCTGACTCTAATCGTTTCACTTACCTATTTTGAGAGACGAATGTTATGAATAACTATCGTAATCTGATTCAGGTCCAAGTAAACGAGCATGTAATTAGTTACTGGGTTATGTGGACCATGCTCACGTCCAAATGTTACTTTTAACCACTTTTAGCTGGAATTCTATATCAGTCAGTCAGTCAGTTACAACATAGAACTTCGTACATACGTACATCAGTTCGAGTTGCCATACCACATTAGCACAGAGATAAAGTTGTCGATTCAAATCCCATAGTGCTAGAAGTAGTAAGAGTATAGGCAGTAATCTGAAAGATTAGGGTTTGAAGATGTTATTCTAGGAGTATAATACAGTGAAATAAATTTGGAAAGAGAAAAGGGATAAGGACATCAAGAATTCAGAAGATTAGAATTTGGTAGAACACAAAGAGTGAATGCACTTTCGCCACTGCAAACGATTTTGAGCCATGTAATTCACGGTCTCTAACCATCGATTGCTATCATCTCGCGAGTCCTACCAGGTAGTCTACACCTACCGACATGGCTCATTCCGATTGTCAGTGACTTCATGGATTTGTACCACGTTTTCGTCTGGCCGCCCCTAGCTTTCTTCCAACCTACTCCTACACCATAAAACACTGCACGTCGGGGCAGTCGGCAGTCGGACATACGTAACACGTGACCCAGCCATCTCAACTGATGAAGTTTCACTACTTCATCAATCGATTTGCCATCCTTACCTAGTGTCCGTTTCCTAACAACTGCATTGCTTACTCGGTGGTCCCAGAATATACGAGCAATACTTCGAAGACACCTATGATCGAAAACTAGTAGCCTACGAACATCCTCTACTCTTACCGACCATGTTTCACTGCCATAAAGTAGGACGGAACGAACTGCTGCACAGTAAGTGCATTCTTTGGTTGCTAGACGGATATCTCGCCTAGGTCATAAATGACGCGAGTTGGCGAAAGCTAGACGAGCCTTCTATATCCGTGCTGAGATTTCGTCACACACCAGACCACAAGGGCTGATGAGACTCCCGAGATAAGTGAAGCAGTCAACACGCTCAACTACTTCACTCCATATCATTAGTTCAGGTGCCGATGCCTTACCCCATGGTCTTCCATATCCGGCGGTTTGGTATTAGAAGTAACACATCAAGACTTCCCATGAAAAGGCCATAAGCGACCGCCTCAAGTAACTATCCTTAGGTCTCTGTGGTCTCACATCCAGGTCTCTAAGACCAACACTAATACAGCCTTTTCTCTAGGTCCCTCAATAATAAATATCCTTCCTGGATGTGTGCAACCGTAAAGTGACAACCGCTTCGATACATTTATCTGCACCTGAGATCATCTTGCTGAGTATCGAACCCCTCCCTCACCTCTTAATAATTCTGCCATCCTCATAACTAACCCTCCTCATTTATCTTTATCACCACGAGCCATCGATGCTAAATTGAATTTTTGAAATGTTATTTCTGGTCTCCTGAATCCACTCTGTAAACTACATGTTGGAGCTTTAACATTCAAATCTTGTGTCTGATAGGAACACAACTCATTAACTAGGACTCCAGAATCTGACACTAACAATGCATGCTGCGTATCCAAAACGCTCATATAGGTTCTATTTACGGTTATTCGCTTAATCTCACTTTGTTGATATAAAGATCTGGCACGGTCATATGACGAATCACACTGAAAATTCTTGCATGGAGGACAGCTGACAGATACATCTCAAGTAAGGACCGGAGTCAGACAAGGCTGTCTACTCTCCCTCCTTCTCTTTCTTTTGGTCGTTGACTGGATTATAAAGACCACATCTGACGGCATGCACGGAATACAATCGACAGTTTGCATGCAACTAGACGATTTGGACTTCGCAGATCATCTAGCTCCTCTATCTCATACCAACAAATGCAGATGAAGACAACCACTGTAGCAGCAGCCTCTGCATAAGTAGGCCTCAACATGCACAAAGGAAAAAGCAACATCCTCAAATACAACAAGGAGAGCACTAACCCAACCACGCTTGTTGGAGAAACTCTGAGAGAAGTGGAAACTTCCACGTATTTGGGTAGCATCATCGATGAACAGGGAGTATCCAATGCAGATGTAAAGTCAAGGATTGGCAAAGTAACAACAGCATTCCTACAGTTCAAGAATATATAAAACTCAAAACAACTGTCAACCAACATCAAGGTCACAATCTTCAATGCGAACGTCAAGACAGTTCTACTGTACGGAACTGAAACTTGGAGAACTACTACAACCATCATCAAAAAGGTACAAGTATTTATAAACAATTGTCTACGCAAGATACTCAGTGTCTGTTGGCCAGATACCATCAGCAACAGCCTATTGTGGGAGAGAACAAACCAGCTTCCAGTTGAAGAGGAAACTAAGAAAAGACGATGGAGATGGGTAGGATATATGTTGCGGAAATCATCAAACTGCATCACGAGTCAAGTGCTAAATTGGAATCCTGATGGTAAGCGGAAAAGAAGTAGATTAGAGGATACACTGCGTTGGAATTGAAAGCAGACCTGTAAAGGATGACTAGGAACTGGAAAGGATTACCCAGGACAGAGTTCGGTGTAGAATGCTGGTGAGCAGCCTATGCTTCACCACGAGGGGTAACAGGCATAAGTAAGTATAAGAATTGATAATCAATATAAGATTTGAATTGCTCTTAGTAGGTATGGAATTCATTTGAGGTTGAATCAATAACTTAAAAAAACAAATCAGTTTTTGTTAGTTCGTTTATTTATGCAGTTATGAATACGTTTTTTTACTGTGATAATCACGCGTTTAAATAGTGGATTTTATATACCAATCGTATTCCAGTTTCCGTCTATGGCTATCCATTCAAACGGATCAGATGGTGGTGGTGCCAAACTTTATGTGCCTCCTCATTTGCGCAATCGTGGGACATCGAATGGTCTCGCTGAATCTGTAAATGATTTTAGTCAATTTAGTCGCCCATCCCGTGGCACTGGTGATAACTTTCGTGGACGTCCTTTTCGTGGTTCGTACAGTAATAGAGGATCAAAAGTTGGAAACGAAAGGCAACAATCTGACTCAAGGTGGTCAAGCTTCAACATGAAGTATGTCAGTATTTTTTTAAATGTGATTGTTTGTAGTATTCAGTCACGAGGTGGTCATTCTACTTTAGGGTCAAGTGTTCCCAGACGCAGTTGGAATTCATTCACCGAAGATTGGACTCAACAATTGCCACGAAACGAGCGTACAGAACAAGAGCTTTTCAAGAAAGTGAGCGCGGGGATAAACTTTAACCAATACGACAACATTCCTGTGAACGCAACTGGGCCAAACTTTAACGACAGTGCATCAACCATATCTTCATTTACCGAACTTTCACTTCATAAAATTGTACGTGATAACGTTGAATTGGCCAATTATGAGCGTCCTACACCGGTACAAAAACATGCTATACCAATAATTGCATCAGGTCGGGACCTAATGGCATGTGCACAAACTGGTTCAGGAAAAACTGCTGCATTCCTTATTCCAATCTTAAATAACATGATTAAGCAAGGTCCTGGTGATTCTATAAGCGCCACTGTAAGTTTGTTACGCTTGAAAAGTTATTTAAGTAGATAAACAACAACCGAAGGAAACAGTTCCCTGTAGCTCTTATACTGGCTCCAACTCGCGAATTAGCATCACAGATTTTTGATGACGCCCGAAAGTTTTCCTATAGATCTCTTATCAGACCATGTGTTCTTTACGGTGGTGCTGATATGAGAACGCAGTTGATGGAGTTGTCCGAAGGCTGTAATCTGTTAGTTGCCACCCCAGGTCGACTAAGTGATGTTTTAGAACGGGGTCGGGTCGGCTTAGACTACTGTCGGTAAGTTTCAAACTAATGCGTGACTTTCCACAGGTTCCTCGTTCTTGATGAAGCTGATCGTATGTTAGACATGGGGTTCGAACCACAGATTCGTCGTATTGTAGAGCAAGATGCTCTCCCACCTTCCGGCGAGCGACAGACACTTATGTTCTCGGCAACTTTCCCCAATGAAATTCAGGTACTTACAACCTCTTATTATGTTTCTTTAGATTTTAGCAAAAGATTTCTTAAACAATTATATATTTTTGACCGTTGGACGTGTTGGAAGTACGAGTGAAAATATTACGCAAACGATACTTTGGGTTGAGGAGAATGCTAAACGAGATACTCTAATCGATTTGCTTGCTCATTCAGGTTTTCCAAATAATAATTTCCTTACATGTTTAATTATCCAGAAGCAGGTACACTAATATTAGTTTTTGTTGAAACAAGACGGGGTGCAGATGCTCTTGAAAACTATTTGTACTCACAGAAGTTTCAAGTTGCTAGCATACATGGGGATCGTACTCAGGAAGATCGAGAATTAGCGTTGTCTTGTTTCCGTTCGGGAAGAACACCAGTGCTCGTTGCAACAGCTGTTGCAGCTCGTGGTTTGGATATTCCAAATGTCAAAGTAAGTTTCTATCATTTCATTAATTCACTAAAAATTTGTCTTCAGACTTATATTCATCTATGTTCTACTCTTAAAAGTTTAAAATTACCCATATTACCCCCCTAACTTGCTTTGATAATTCTATGTATCCGTTTTCTATTTTTACACTGCTTAAACACATTCCCTTTATTCGTTGAATGCTGCACTTGTCGTTACATATTACATATTTAATTCATATTCCCTATGCACTCCTAAGATATCTATGTATTTATATAAGTTGTATGCCTACATTACTTAAAGAACGTTTGCCATATCAGTTCATTCTTAATAGAATCTTGGCGAAACTATCCGATATTCTACCATTTAAGCGAGAGTTTTATTTGCAAAAAATATTCTCCGATTTAGTTCAGTGAATCTAATTATTACACTTATATTTTAGATACAAATCCTATAGACTCATACAGTTTACTGATTCATTTCCTTTAGTTGTGCGGAAAATATATCTGCACGTCCGAAGTATAAATATGCTTACGAATTATAGCTTATTAATTTGATTCATGGTAGGTCTGTTCATTTAGGTGAACTCGCAAAAAAACAGTACAAGAAGTAAAGGAGTTGGTAATCCAGGAGATCTATTCTACTGATAGGTATTTGTACCTATTTCGACACAAGACCAATAGATCATAAATCTTGATACGGTACCACGACTCCGAGGCATTTTCAAACAAATCACTGTGATGATAATAGCACATGCGTTTGCGACCACACATACTTGCTATGAAAACAAACTGCTCACTCAGAATTCAATATAATCACGTAAAAACGGAATTGATTGGGTGCTTCCAACTTTCGCATATTCTCTACCCATGTGGAGTTAAGTTATACAACTCAATCTACTGAACAATTGAACTCCAGTTTAGACACACACTCGACCTATATTTCATGTGACTCGAACTCGCGAAAGTTAGGCAAACATCTTCATGCAAAAATCATGTTGGCAACCAGCCTATCGACACTGATATACTATTGTTAACTCACTTAAGGATTTTGGTTTGTTTGCTTAACTTTGAGACACGGTGTGGGAGACTGACAATACCCAGTTAATCAAACCAAAGTGAGTGAATCGGGGTTAAAACCTGCCATTTGTTAACTAAAAGTTAGTCGCCTTAACGACCGATGAAACTTCTAGCCTAACTGCAGTGTTTCAGAGGGGAAATATTGTAGTGAGTCAAGCTGGTCGTAGTTTATATTAACTGGGGGGAGACAGTCTCAAGAGGTCTAAACTCAGATTTAAAAAGCCCAGCCATGTATCCCTGTGTACCAATCGGTATATATGCGACTTTTGATTTGCTATGGGATTTTTTGGCAGCGAAACTGTGAAGTGATGAATATTTATTGTTTGGGGGTAAACTGTAGTGAAGGTACAAATTGACAATTGCGTACGCGTAAAGTGCAGTTGTCGCACCTGCCCAACTACCAGTTATTTCAGTATACAACGCTGTGGTCGGTTTTGACCCTATCATCTGAAACCTTTAACTGTTGATTTACATCACTTCCAAGTCCATATTTCTCTAGACCAACTCGAACGAAAAACAGTAAGCCGAGAGTATGTCATTGTTTAACTATTGTTAATCCACCTGTCCAACCACATCTAAGTTACAAACACAGTTATGTTTTTGTGTGCTCCAGAATATACAATAGTTTTATTCTAAATAGAATGGCTTGTTACCCACTAAGAATGGACTCAGTCTATGTGTAGTATCTTGTCCTTTTGGCTTTCCGAGTTTCACAAATAAACAAATAACGCGTAAAACCCTACACCTCTTTGGAATGTAAATTTAAATCCTCATTGTTTATTGCATTTACAATATAGCACGTTATCAATTACGATCTTCCGTCAGATATTGAAGAGTATGTACATCGCATCGGCCGAACTGGTCGTGTTGGCAATCTTGGACTAGCTACTTCTTTCTTCAATGACAAAAACCGCAACTTGGCCCGTGGTCTAGTTGAGTTGCTTGAAGAAGCTAATCAGGCTATCCCGCCTTGGTTGAAAGCAATTACAGGAGACGGAAGACCTACAAATATCCCACGTCCAAGAAACAATCGTCGGTAATTTTACAAGTTTGATTTCTTACATTGCACAGGTTGTCATGATTACTGGGCCGCATAGTTCACCTCGTTAGGAAGTTAGGGTGAAGAAATCTGAAAATTCTGTTCCGTAATAATACTCCATAGTAATTTAAAATATAGGGACAACCAAGTTTCATTTATATTAAGGACGTTACTTGGACACTATGTTTCGTAAGCCCATAACAATAGTTACATGGCTTTGCAACTACTTTTTAGTGTTAAACGAGATAACTTCACAGGAAGTGGCAAAGAATCTGAATGACTTTGATAAACCTGACAGACGGTAATGCATCAACTGACAAAGTCACAGGTAAGTTATCTTGATATCATTAAAATATGATTTTCATCCGACTGTCCAAAAATAAGTGAATCGTAACTAACGGGATTGATAATGTGTGCGTCATTGCACAACGATGCTACTAGCTTCAAAATCAACACAGGCTAATCTAATTACAATAAAATTTGTTTGTCTACCTAATTGTTTGCCAGTAGTATTGAGTGGATATGCTAAGTGAAATATATTTGACTCACGTCGAAACATTTAACTTGCAATTTTAAACCTGTACACTAAACCATTTTCCATCCTTTGGATTAAGAGTGGTCATTTTGTCATAATTTACTACTGTTCGTCCTTTTGTTATACTGCTGAATATAATCAAACTTTTATTTTAGTGGCGGCTTTGGTGCTCGTGATTATCGACAAACTCCCTCACGTGGTGCTAATAGTTCTAATCGTCCTACTGGCCCAACGTCTAGAGACTATGGATTGCTTCGCGATAGTAGCTATTACGATTCCCAACCATGCTCAGCGTCACAGAGTTCTCCAGACTGGTGGGGCAATTAGCAGTCATAATTACGGATATAATTAACTATGAACAATACCCATTTTGATCCTGTCGGTTTTTATAATTTGAATCATTTTTGACAATTTTTACATCAGCGGAAACTTGCTTTCATAATTTACTTTGGAATTCACGCCACCAAATCGTTACAGTTGTCCCTTCCCAAATCTAGTTTTGATTGCCAATTCAATATGTGCATCCATGTGGGCATAATAGCGGCAATTCTTCATGGATATCATTTGTGAATTGCCGCTGTTCTTTTCTAAACCTGCATTTATTTTTGTCAAGGTGTGATTTTCCCAGAGGACGAAGACAAGTTTAAACGCTTTTTGGTATTTGAAAAAAGCTTGTATTGATTAAAAAAACTAGATTTAAAAGTATGGATTTTTATTTGCATATAACTACTTGGGGTATCGCGCTACAAACGTAGGTACAGAAAACTTCCCTAAACATCCTTTATAGGTCATGCATCTGATTTTTCCAAAAACGGGCCTTTCTGCCCAACCTTGATCATGCACACCGCATATTGACCACATAACACCTGGAACACAGAATATAACAATAAACTATTCAAGTCTTACCAACAAACCCATTTGGGTCGGAACCGTCCAGCGCATAATGGTCGTTGAGATAAAGTGCTAACTTGAGAGCGGCCGACGGGCCAGATTCATGCCACTCCAATATTTTCTTAGCCCAGTACATACGCAGGAATCCGTGGAGTTTGCCTGACCGTACTAGCTGACGCTGTGCAGCATTCCATAGATCGTCTTTAGTTTCGGCTGATATCATGACTTCTTCGCTATATGAAGGGTTGCGTTTGTCATGAGCATGTTGCGCGAGAGTGTCTTGAGCCCATTTCCACGCTCCTAGTAATAAAAAACCGTTTGGTTATTTAGTGTTTGGTAAATACAGTTGCACCACATACTTGACTGGGGCATTTAGTCTGCTTTAGAAAGGTGTCGTTGTATCAAATCTGCAAGCCTTGTTGACACAGTCGTAATCCAAATAAAAATTCTCTTAATCCACCTTTTTACTATCATCGCTCACGTCACAAATCGTACGGCGATGGGAAGATTGCTGCGCCGTATATTGATTTCGCTTACCGAACACAAGCGTCATATGACGATGTATGTAGTGACTGTAAACAGTTATGAGATTTGCCTCTGGAAAGCTACGTGGTCTACCTAAGTTTTTCTCAAGAGTCAGACGGATCGCGGACGTTGCTTTTCACAATTTCTTTCAGATCAACTAAAGATTAAATATACACCTCAAGACACTAGCAGAGGTTTTTTAGTTTACTGTCTAGAATAAGCCTTTTTTATGCAAGAATGTGATTAAGGGTTTTTGATTGTCATTATGGTTGGAAATAATTATTCTGACAGCCGTACTGATTACACTCACCTTCAATTGAATCATATTTCGGGTTGTAATAACAGAAGTTATCCGAGAGTTCCCTTCGAATAAAGGCTTCCTCCACAAAGGCGTCTACGGAATCCTTGTGCTTATGGCGCCAAAGCTTTACCTCCATGATCGCTCGTTGTGGTGCAATTTGACCTAAGTTAATAAAGTATAGGAACATATTTTGCAACAGACTTTTCAAATACGCTTGTAATCAGTCCTCAAATGCCCTGGTACGGCCGAGGGTAGAGAGAGTCCCTTCTCTCGATATGCTCTCACATGGCCACGCATATACAGCCATTGTCAGGAAAGTCCTACTCACTGCCCTCTCGAGGCGTTGCTGTTGTCTACGAAATCAAGAGGATGGAAAGTAAATATCCGGCACTTTAACCGGGTTGGTAAACACAGATGGTCCACCTGTGGATGCTAGAAAACCCTGATTCCAAACCAATGGTGCACATGGACTCCAGTACCATGAGGGGAAAAATGACGTATGAACCGATTATTGGTCACCGGCTACCATCGGACTGCATCTCCCGACGTTGCTCCACTGTCTTATGGACCTTTAGTTCAAAGGCTCTGGGTGTGGCCCGATAAGAAAACCATCTGCTTCGGTCTGGTGACCCGGGCAGTATCACAGCCCACGCACAAATTAAGTGACTTGTGTGGTGCATATGTATACGCTGCCCTCTTGTACCAATATTTATGTGTTCAAATAAATAAGCTGAAGAAATTTACCAGAGGATCTGTACGGTTTCTGCAAAACCTGTATTACAAGCAAATAGAGTGATACCTTCTTCAAGGTAAAGAGGAGTTTAACCAATACTGATCTTCAATATGAAAAGCAATCACGAAGATTCATGTAACTCTTAAATGGTTGCTTGGCGAGAATACGATTAATGGATGAGGCAATCAGATTTAAAATAACACGTTTTGGATTTTAGCGCAAAATTCATCTCATTTGGCTAAATACTATTTGTTGTATAGCTGATGTCAGTTCATGATGAAAACTCTAAATCTAATTCCTTACTCAAATCATCATATTTCTAATTCCTCACATTGCTTTATAACCCTCATTTAGTTTTTGTTAATAGGTGGACATTTCCAAAGTCATTTTAGCGTTGGCTGCTGTCTTGTTTGGTTTACGTCAAAGGTGCGGCGGATACTTGTAAGGACAGTTAGTTCATAAAGATGCGATTAGCTGTCAAATTTTTAACAGAAAACTTTAATTCAGCTCCCAATGTATTAGTGGTTATTAGTCCTAAAATGTGTAGGCTAATGCAGGTAGTTGAGTATGAACATATCAAGTCTCCAAATTGTTACAGTATTCTAAATAGCAAAGTTGAAGGCCTGATTTTAAAAATCTAATTTCGTAAATATTTCTGAGTAATTGAATCATTGTACCACTCAGGAAGTTAGTGATGTCGATCATTAAGTTATGCGACGCTAACAAAAATAGTTTTCCAACTTATGAGAAATTGCTTCACGAAACAACACAACTTAGCGAAAATAGAAACAAAACACACATCCAGTTAGTTTGAATGCCTAAAACTATCGATAAAACTGAAATCATTCGTAGACGAGTCCGCCTGACTATCCAAAGTGCATACTTCCAATAGTATGTGGCTACTGTGTTGTTGAAGTATTTAAATTGTGTCATCGACGAACATCATATTGGTGAGTCAAAATTACACTGAAATACAATGGCAAATAAGCATCATAATACAAATTGTGACAAATCAAGTAACAATTACCATAATGAAACCATGGCGACAAGTCGCTCAAACAATTTTTCGTGGGGTCGTTACGACAATCAGCGTATTTGGGCAGTCTTTCATAAATGAATGTGTGTAACGTTGTGAGACCTCCACCAGTTCCTGGAATTGCCCAATCAACTGGTTTAACTGATAAATCTCCCGAAAATGTTGATATCCAATAATTCCAATCTATTGGCTGTATGGGAAAGTGTAGATTACGCATGAAAATAAAATAATTTTGAAGAATAAGCTTAGATGTCTCAAAAATGATTATAGATAGTACTTTGAGCTTTGATTAAAGTATGCACACAGTAGGATGATTTGTTGTCAGCTTCAAAAGCCATAAAAAACCAACATTGCCATTCACAATCCGCATGTGCTGGACTTTTTCTCTTACAAAGGCAACTCATACGAAGTGCTTATGTATATAGCTTCCAGCTGAAGAGGAAATTAGGAAAAGACGTTGGAAGTGGAAAGGACATACATTAAGGAAATCACCAATGTGCATTATAAGGCAATCCCTCACTTGGAATCCGGAAGGGAAGCGGAAAAGAGGAAGGTCAAAGAACACATTACGCCG